TAAGGCATTCGGGTGCCAGCCTGCCCAGCCTTCGTTTCATCACACCTGGGAATTTATCTTTACCTGCTGCTTATCTGAACTGTTTTATACCCAAACCTATTCTAGCCTAAGTAGAGCAATAATGATAAAAGTAGCTGCTATTTATTGAGATACCCTAGGTGCCAGAAACTGTCTTAATTGCGTAACAAGTTAATTTCTTGATTCAAAGAGCAACTTGTTAAGGAATTCTCCTTACTTTACATAGGAGACAGTTGCAGCTAAGAGGCAGAGTCGATATTTAAGTTAAATCTGTCCAGCTCTAAGCTCTTTGGGGCTGTGGGCTGCATTACCGGGCTTCCTGGTGTGTGTGGGTATAGGTGTAAGAATGTGGATGTATTTTGGAGGGTTTTTTTTGTTGTTTTTTTTGGCGGGGGTAAGTGAGAGGAGGGAGAAGTGGTCATAGCTTTAGCCAACCTGTTAACACTGCGCTAAAATACAAGAGGTTTGTATGGTACCTCTTTCTTAATAGCTGTTTATTCTATATTAAGTACTTAATGTTTTACATTTTAATTCTGTCGATTTTGCTGAACTTCTATTATTTCATAGATTCTAGGAATAGATTTTCTGGGGAGCATTGTAAACGAGATTTACTAAGAAATAGTATAGTAACTAATATTGGAATTATCAAAAGATTTGTTAAGCTCATTGACAACTGAACAAGATTGTAAGGTTGAATCCTTTATTTTAGGGGGAAATCTATTTTCGGGTCCTTTCAAACCACTCATTTAATTATAAACAGTATGCTGATTATAATCACAGATTATTTTTATGCACTAAAACAATGGGACCTTGTGCTTTTTATATATAATGTGCTGTATATTCTCTTAGAGTAAAATAGTTGTATAAGCAATTTAACATTCAGAGAGACTTTCCGGGCCAAATTAATGTGGCTCGTTTGTGTATGTTATGAAAATTTCAGATATGTAAGAGGCATAAAGACTAATATACTACCTATGTGCCTAACATCTGCTTAAGACATTAAAATGTTACTAACATAATTGAAGCCCCAGTGTATCCATCCCCAACTGCATAATTCTTCTTCTGCCTCAGATATAACAAATAATTGTGTCCTTTTAAACATAATAAAAACTATGTTTATAAACTTTATATAAATGGTAGTACTGTATACTCTGATTCTTTTGCAACTTTTTTTACACAATATTTTTGAGAACCACCCATGTTGCTGTATGTAGTTCTAGTCCATTCACTTCTGTTGTTTGTAATACTTCGCTGCATGAGTAGCCATCATTTACATTGTCCTGTGGATGGACCGTTAGTTGTTTCCAGTTTGTGCAGTTAACAGACTATGCTGCTATTAATGTTCTTTTACAGTTCTCCTTGTGCATATGTGTGAGATTCCCTAGGGCATCTACCTATGAATGAAATTGTTAGATTGAAAGGTATTCGTGTGTTCAGTTTTACTAAATATTGCCTAATTATCTCCAAAAGTGGTACCCCTTTGGGTAGCCACCTTCACTGATTAGGTTCTCATTGTTCTACACACGTGCCAACACTAGATATTGTCAGACTTTTAAAATTTTCAGTTCTATGAGTGATATATCTCATTTTTATTTTGAATTTCTCTGATTACTAGTGAGGTTGTACATCTTTTCTTACATTTATTATTATTGTGGGTATTCTCCCCAGGTACTTACTCTTATGGTATATTATGGTTGAAAGCTACATGCAAAGTTGAAAGTAGCATGAAGTAGCTACTACTATACAGAACTATACCCTACTTGCATCTTTAAAACAAATGGGTCATTTTTTGGTACTTTGGAAAGTGAATATGAAAGAGTTAGAGTTACATCTTTCAATACAGATAAATGAAAAATGATACTGAGAAAGTTATTGAAGCTGCATACAATATACCATTTATGTAACTGTGTACCTGTGGGCACCTTACTTCACTTATTTGTGTTTCACTTTTTCTGTGAAATAGGATAATCATACCAACCTCTCATGGTGGTTGAGGGCGAGGGAATAGTCAATGAAATAATGCATGTAAAGTGCTTAGAATAGTGTCTGGCATGTAAGCACTGTTGGCATATAATAGTGTTGTTATTGTTTTGCACAGTAATCTATTTTCTGTAGGCTCAAATGACAGAAAATAAGAGTGTAAAATCATGTATTGGGATGATGTGCAAATCACTGCTCTGCCTTCCCAGGGCAGAAAATGCTAATAGAATTGGGGAGGCGACATGGGGACTTTAGTTGTGTTTTCTTTCTAAGAATTGATGAAGATGCATCAGAATGTTAATTTTTTTTCTTTTTTTCTGAGACCAGGTCTCACTCTGTTGCCCAGGATAGAGTGCAGTGGTGTCATCATGGCTCATTGCAACCTCACACTTCTGGGCTTGGGTGATTCTCCTGCCTCAGTCTCCCAAGTAGCTGGGATTATAGGCATGCACCACCACACCCAGCTAATTTTTCTATTTTTTGTAGAGACGGTCTCCTGCTTTTGCTCAGGCTGGTCTCCAACTCCTGACGTTAGGCAGTCCTCCTGCTTCGGCCTCCCCAAGTGCTAGGATTACAGGTGTGAGCCACTGTGCCCTGGCCAGAATGTTAAGATTTAACAGGGTGGTGTGGTGGGTTCTTTTTAACTGTTTGCTTAAAACAATTCAAAGTAAAAAATATTCTTTAAGCATAGAAAAAAATCTGGTAACTTTTCAGACTTTTTTCTTTGGAGGAAATAATTTGGGATGATTTTCCAGTAGTATTTTAGAAAGCCTGGACTTTGGAATTAAATTGATGCTTGCATCCTGGTGCCGTTATTTACCAGCTTTATGACCTTGTGCAATTGATGCAATCTCTCTGAGTAAACCTCATCTTTAAAATGAGGGCTTAATACCTCCTGGTTTGATGAGAGAATTAAATGAAATAACATTAACACCTGGCACACGAGACTAGTACTTAGTTTTAGAATGAAACATACATACTCAACTTAAGTAATGTGAAAGATGGGTAACACCATGGCATGTAATTACATCAGCCCCGAAATCTGGCAGCATTTGTGAGATTGAAATGCTACCTGTTGACAGTTGACTCTAATGTCAGTGTACTTCTATCTCAAGGCCAACGGAGGAGCCCATTGGTATAGACAACCCAAAGCAGCCACGTGTCTGCTGTGCACCTGTGTTTGGCCGTCCTGCTTCTCCCTGTGCAGGCGCACACACCCCACTATGTTACTTCTTTTCGTCTTCTGCGCCCGTCAGTTTTCTAACAATCAGAACGTCTGTGACTGTGACAAAGCTGTCCAGGGTCACAGCAGATGGATGAGTAGCCTTGAGACCCTCCTGGGTGCCCTGGAACCTGGCTTCTGCTTGGGACTGTCAGAACCGTACAGCGTGGAGGAGGTGGGCTGGTTGCCGGGGAGCTGACCGTGGGCATGCAGGCTAGGTGCTGCAGATGACCGTGAGTTGATTTCATTTAGACTGTTCTCACGTCTCTTGCCACAGGAATTTATTCACATGGCTCCCGAAGAAGTGACCATCACAGTTCGCCTCATTCGTTCCTTTGAACATCGCAATTTCAAACCTGTAGTGTATCGTGGGGTTAACTTGGACCAAACCGTAAAGGAATTTATAGCATTTTTAAAGCAAGGTATGAGATGTGATAGCCATTTTGTGTTATTAGTATTTTGAAAAAATAGTTGACTATAACATTAATAATAACCTTTTAAAAATACCTCAATACTTTGAAAGATTAATCTAGGTTCTGAGCCAGGTGCTAGGCTGGCTCCTATTCTGGGCCTCGGCATCCGCAGAAGTGCCTCCTCCAAGGTTCCTTGTTTAGTAGTACGTGCCCTCATCAGGGATTGTTACCATGATGTTTGGCTGCTGCTGCTGCTTTTCTAATTAAAAAATTAATATCTAGGTTTGTTTGTGATGGGCTTATGTATTTGGAGATTGATTGACAGGGCAGTGTGCTGTAGCTAATGGCATCACCCAGCTGAGCACCCAGCAGGATGTGTGGGTGGCAGGAAGGCAGCAGAAGCCTGTGCAACCAGGAGGTCATGAGAGCTGCTGGTCACTGTGGTCACGGGACAGTGACCAGACCAACAGTGCTCATTCATCATTTCCAACTAAAAGTAGGCATGAAGTCAGTCTTCATTCTGTTATGTCCTGTTATGATGGGTTTCTCATGTCTGTTTTTAATTATTGAGGCGTTCCAGTCATTAAAATGTGATCGAACATCTGAAATAAGCTTTTGTTATTTTTAATTGAAATGTAACTTATATATAGTGCAAGGTACACATCTCCATGGGTTTTGACAAATGTATCACTTTATATCCAAGTTAATTTGTTTACTTTGACATAATTTCAGACGTACAGAAAAGTTGCAAGAACAGGACAAGAATTCCTGGACACTCATCACACAGATTTCTCAAACGTTAACACTTTATTCCCTTCCCTCTCCTTCTCCCTCATTCTCCTCACCCCCCGAGATTATATAGCATCTTCAACAAGAACAGTACATTTTTAGAGAAGTGACAGGACAAAGGGAAAGGACTTTGAATCTCTAACGATGGCAACTTGTGGGATAGCAAGTAAATGGCAGACAGAGGCTGGGCAGCAGAGCTGGTTAAAGTGGATTCCTCTGGTGCCATCTCCAGATGGTAATGGTCAAAGTTGTCTTCAGTGGTTACCCTTTGCTCTCCCTGGTAGAGAGGGAAGCAGGGTACCTTTTGTCTTTGTAAATCTATGCCCGGCTTTTAGGCAAAGAGAGGAAAGGCAGAGACCTTTCCTGTATCTGCTCTTTCTTAATTGCTTTTAGCTCAAAACAATGCTTATGCCAAAGAGGCATATTTTGGGGTATCAATCTTTGGGATGGCATGTCCTGGTGTCCCACAATGTCAATTGCAGAGTGTTCTGCTTTTGAAAGGTCATCATCTAAAACATACTCGGGGTTTGAAGTAGAAAAAACCCTACGTTTTTATTTTAAAATCTTTTTGTATATCATGGGTTACGGTGTTTCTTACTGTTGAAACAGCAAGTGCTGTGATGTTCTTGGTACCGGGCAGAATCGGTTCTTCTTGAAGTCCTTGAGAATGAGATGTAATTTTCGAGCTGCTACAGTGGCAGGGGAAGACCGTCTTCTCTCCAGGGTCACTGTGTTCTTTTCTTCACAGGTACGAAGGCCTTCCCCAGGGGAGCCGTGTTACTGGTTACAGTGACACGCTCAGACCTGCTTACTCACAACTTTCACCTGCATTAGTAATAACATAGCCACTGCTTGTTTCGATTGTGCATGTAGGGAAATGTGTTCCACTGATTAAAAGGGTGAACTTTTGGGGTACAGACTTTTTTGAGTTGTGCCCAAGCCCATCTTTGCCATCTGATTTGAGGTACTGTGGAACTCTGTAAGGTTGGTGGCCACATATTTGCCTTTTATGGATTGTTTACATAACAAAGACCACATAGTTTGATAGTGAGGAAGTTCTGAGATACATGATAATGATAACTAACATTATTATGCTAAGTTGCATTAGCTAAGAGTTTTACCTGGATTATCTCATTTCAACCTCACATCATCCCTCTAAAGTAGGAGCTGTTATGATCTGCATTTTACAGGTGGGGAAACTAAGGAACAGAGAGGTTAAGAAGCTTTCCTGAGGCTACACAGCTAATAAAATGCAAAGCTGCAAATCACCCCAGGCAGTTTAAGTATAAAACATGTACTCTTTAGCACTACACTAAACTGCCTCTTTATTCTTCTCTGCTGCCTTACTTGCTTGAGGAGGGTCTTTGAAATAAATGGATTCACTCAGTGCCAAAAGAATCTTTGAATTTAGTTCATCTTGCTCTAGCATTTTGAATGCTGAGTGTTGGAAGGATGGTTTCACATCATGCTAGTGAATTTCGCACAGAGACAGAAATGGCCATTGTGAAGAATGATCCCTTGGGGTTATTTTAGATGCCTTATTGCCTTTCTAAGTGTTCTTTTCTTATCATATTCACTATTTTTTTTGCCATCCATGGCTTAACCTAGTCACCTGCCATAATTGTCTTTATTTCCCGTTAGCCAAGAAGCTTGGTTAAATTTGATTCATTCTCCATTGAGAATGTTGTTCTAGAGCATTTTACCATCAAAACCTAAAGTCGTACATAAATATAATAAATACAAATGTGTATATTTATATATAAATATAATGAACCTATTGACATATGGGAGATGAATAGTAGACATTCTGTTTACAGAGGCACCATAATATATTACCTTCTATATGTGATTATTTTTCTATATTAAGAGTAGTACACAAACCAATTATTTAGATAATATGAGATTATTTTAATTCTTTGATTTGGAAGCATTTCAGTACTGATTAATACTTCAGACCTGGCTTCTTTTTTTTTTCTTTTCTATTTTTTTTTTTTTTTTTTTTTTGAGACAGAGTCTCACTCTGTTGCCTGGGCTAGACTGCCATGGCATCAGCCTCGCTTACAGCAACCTCAAACTCCTGGGCTCAAGTGATTCTCCTGCCTCAGCCTCTCAAGTAGCTGGGACTACAGGCATGTGCCACCACGCCTGGCTAATTTTTCTATTTTCAGTAGAGCCGGTGTCTCGCTCTTGCTCAGGCTGGTCTCAAACTCCTGACCTCAAGCGATCCTCCCGCCTCAGCCTCCCAGAGTGCTAGGATTACAGGCGTGAGCCACCACGCCCGGCCCAAGACCTGGCTTCTGAATGTAAAATCATCCTACCCGTGAAATGAAAGAGAGCTGTGGAAGTTCTGTCCAACTTTCCAGTTTGGTCTGATGTTTTTCTCTTGATCAGATTGGGGTTATGGGTTTTAGAGAGGAAGATCACAGAGGCAATGCCACTTTTATCACATCATATCAGGGGTATGTACTTTCCACATGGTTTATGATTCTTGATGTTGACCTTCATCATGTGGTTGAAGTAGTGTCAGGTTTCTCCACTGTAAAGTTATTCTTTTTTCCTCCCTTTCCATACTGTACTTTTTGGAAAGAAGTCAGGTGCGGTCCGCAGTTAAGGACTGAGGAGTTACGCTTTCCTTCATTTAGGGTGGAATATGTATATAATTCATTTGGAATTTTTTTGCATGGGAGATTTTATTTATTTTCTTGCTCCAGTTGTTCTAGCTCTGGCCTGAGAACTCTTGCAGTTGGCTCCTGTGCTCCTTTGGCATTTGCCATCTGTGTGTGTGTGCATGTATGTGTGTGTGCACACACATGTATGTGTATCAGGTACTTTCTGGTCCTATAGGGTTCTGTGTGTGTGTGTGTGTGTGTGTGTGTGTGTGTGTTGAATACTTTCTTTCTGGTACTGTAGGATGCTCCAGACTCATCTTGTATATTTCCTGTCCCGTGCCTAGAATCAGCTCTTTGTCCAAGGAGTTCTGGTTCCTTTTTATTGGAAAATGGTATTAGAAACCAAGACCTGAGTCCTAGATGTACTCATCGCTACTGGAGTGTCATTTCTTTTAGGCCCTCTCAGCTGACAGAGCAAAGAAATATATTTGTAACTAACTTGTGCGTATCTACAAATATTTTTATATGTAACCATCTGTATCTATATGGTAAACATGAGTTCTTACTGATGTTTCTAACTAATTCATTACCACATGGATCATTCTAGCTTTTTCTCCTTGCTTACCTGTAAATTCCCACACCAACAGTGGGAAACCGGGCTCCCACCATCTGCCAACTGTTTATTTAATTCCATTATTCAGGTATAGCAGTGTACCACCATGGGAAGTAACTTGGTATCAATTAGAGTACGGTGCCTATGTGCCGTTCCTTTTGCCTTAGCCTTACAAAAATCTGTTCATTGCCAAAGTTATTTAGGTCAGCACCTTTTCTTCTACCCCCTTCAGTAGGTGGTTTCATACACTTGTAGTACAGCTAGATACTCTTGTCGCTATCTGCATTCTTTCCCGGGATCTCCTGACTCCTTAAATAATTTTTTAAAACTATGTATACATTAAAGTTCACTCTTTGTGCTGTCAAGTTTTATGGGCTTTTGACACATGTATGATTTCATGTTGCCACCATTACAGTGTCATACAGAACAGTGTCACAGCCCTAAAAAGCCCCTGTGCTTCATCCTTCCCCTCCCTGCACCCCACCAACCTCTGAGTCTTTTCCTGCCTCTGTATCTTTTCCAGAGTATCATATAATTGAAATCATACAGTATGTAGCCTCTTCAGACTGGCTTCTTTTGTTTAGAAACATGCATTGAAAGTTCCTCTATGTCTTTTTGTGACAAGTTGTGTCTTTGTAATTTTCCTTAATCTGGAAACAGTCCTCTGCTTTCTTTTGTCTTTCATTATATTGGTTTTAAAAAAAAAAATCTAGGGCAGTGTTTTATAGAATGTTACATAATCTGGATTTGTCTGGATTGTTTTCTCATGATTAGAATCAGTTGAACATTTTTGGCAAGATTACTACATACGTCAGGGGCTAACACATAACAGCCTGTAGACCAATCTGACCTGCCACCTGTTTTGTGCATAAAGTTTTATTAGAACACATCCATGCCCGTTTGTTTATGTATAATATGTTTACGTTTGTGCTTCAATGGCAGAGTTGCAGATTTGTGACGGAGACTGTTACAGAGACAGAGACTGGCCACAAAGCCTA